GGATGGAAGACACTAAATTATTTCTAATTTGTTTGTGCCAAACATGAAAAATAATATTTTTCATGTTTGGGACAACTCTGTGAGAAAAGTTATTATATTTGCATGAAAAATCATAATCTTTCATTAATAGGTGAAAATGAAAATTTTTGGTTGTTAAAGTGCCGATAACCAAAATTAGAATTTTTTGTTAAATATTTATATTGATGTGGCAAAATGCTTGAAAACTTGTGTTAAAGATTCTTTTTGGTTATGATGCTTGAGATTTGGGCAATTGAATTTTGGATGATTAATTTTTTTGTCTAGAAAGAAGATGGTGAAATGATTTCTTTCTATTAACCACCTGAATTAACTTTGTAAGGGATGTCTAGTTGGAAAGAAAGCTAGAAAAAGCTCCCAAATAAGCCATTTCAAGAGCAACCAAACTGCTTCAACTTATTCACTCGGATGTTTGAGGACTCATAGACCTATCATTGTTTGGTAAGAAACTGAATTTTTTTTTTATTTATTGATGATTTTAGCTGAAAAATGTGAGTTTATTTTTAAAACAAAAATTGGAGGTGATCCGTATTTTCAAAAAGTTTAAGGTTTTGATTGAAAAACAAAGTGGGTATGAAGTTAAGGCAATTGGATCTAATAGTAGAGGTGAATTCACATCAAATGAATTAAAAAATTTTGTGAAGAAAATGGAATTCACCATTTTCTAGTGGTTCTAAGATCACCACAACAAAATAGTGTTTTTGAAAGGAAGAACCGAACTATTCTTGATATGGCTCAGAGTATGTTGAAGAGTAAGAAAATGCCTAAGGAGTTTTGGGCAAAAGCTATTGATTGTGCCATCTACTTGTTAAATTGGTCTCCCACTAGAAGTGTTAAAGGCAAAACATCACATGAAGCATGGGAAGAAATCATGCCAAATGTCTCTCATTTGTGGGTCTTTGAAAGTGTATGCTATGCACATGTGCTGGATGAGAAATAGACCAAACTAGATGAAAAGAGTGAAAAGTTTGTCTTCATTATCTATGATTCAAGAAGCAAAGGCTACAGGCTTTAAAACCCAAGCAATGTTAAGATTATAGTTATCAAATCGTGTATCGGAAGGCGTATCGTAAGATACAAATATTGTATCGTATCGTGTATCGTATCGTGTATCGTAAGATACGATGCAATTTTAAATAAATAATAAAAAAATATATATACCTTTGAAAAAAAGTCATACACTCATAAAAAATATAGCATTTCATTAATACTCCACCAACTATTCAAGTTATCAACATAATCCACTACTATTATAATGCAAAGTTCACAACCATAGTTCACTAATTCAAACTTTAAACACCAAAGAGACTTCTAATCCAAATTTCTAACATCCATTTTGAACTCAATCTTCAATTTCAATTGAAAATGCATCATCATCATCATCATTGTGATCGAATGCCAACAAGTCTTCACTTGTCTTTTTTTTTTAAAAAAAATCAGAGCACAAAACGACTTCGTTTTTTTAAAAAAAAAAAAAAAAAAAATTGCACGTATCGTGCGTTTCGTACCGATACGTATCGTATCGTAAAAACGTATCGTGTATCGGACGATACAACGCAAAAACGATACATAACTACGATCCGTATCGTTTTAGGACTGTATCGTAACGTATCGTACGATACGTATCGCGTATCGTACGATACTAACAACTTTGGTTAAGATTATAATTAGTAGAGATGTTGAGTTTGATGAACAAGATAAATGGGATTGAAACACTCCATAAGAAGACTATGATTTTTTCCTATTCTTTGAAGAAGAGGAGGAGCCCAAAGAGATCATGGAGCTGGCCATTTATTTTCTACCATCACCCTCCAATGTGCAAGTATCTCCATCATTATCCGAAACAAGTTCAAGTGAAAGACCCACTTTGCATGAGGTGTCTTCGAGATATCTATGAAAAAACTGAAGAGGTACCTCAAATATTTAGTGATTTAAAACTCTTTTGCCTATTTGTTGAGTTTGATCCCATAAACTATGAAAAAAAGACACAAGACAAGCAGTGGAGGAGTGTCGTGAATGAAGAAATTAAAGCTATTGAGAGGAATAGAAAATGAGAACTTGTCACACTCTCTAGAGGACAAAAGGCTATTGGAGTGAAGTGGGTGTACAAGACAAAGAAGAATGTCAAAGGTGAAGTAGAGAGGTATAAAATAAGATTGGTTACAAGAGACTATAGTCAAAGTTCGTGTATCGACTATGATGAGGTATTTGCATCCATTATTGAGATAGTGATTGGGCTGGAGATATGGATGGTAGAAAAAATACTGCTAGTTATGTTTTCTTTATGGGACATACCACATTTGCTTGGAGTTCAAAGAAGCAATCCATTGTGACCGTTTTAACTTGGGCAGATTAGTACGTGGCGGCTACATCATGTGTTTGTCAAGCCATTTGGCTTAGAAATTTGTTGAAAGAGTTTCACTTGCCTCAAGAAGAGTTGATAGAGATCTTCATTGACAATAAATCGGCACTAGCGTTGGCAAAGAATCCGGTGTTCTATGATCGTAGTAAGCATATTGACATAGAGTTCCATTTCATTAGAGAGTATGCAACCAAGAAAGAGGTGGAGCTCAAGTTTGTGAAGTCACAAGACCAAATTGCCAATATTTTCTCTAAGCTCCTCAAAAGGATGTTTTTTGCAAATTGAAAAGTTTTCTTGAACTTGAAAAGAAAAATCATGTTTAAAGAGGGGATGTTGAGAAAAATAATATACATGACTTTTCATGTTATAGGAGTTATTTATATGAGTTAGTTTTTTGTATTAATGAGTTATCAATTTGCTAGTGTTGGGGGACAATATAATTGTGGTATTTTAATTTTTTCAAGTAATGGAGGAGTGGGGTCTTTATTATTTTTATTATTGCATTATATAGTGAGGTTATATTGTGCAAGTCTATTTATATTCTATGTTATACGCTAGTTTCGGTATGAGTGAATTGTAAGTGTTCTTCCAATCTTCAATAGTCTCTTCCATTATATTTTTTAGTGTGTGATAGTCCTCTAGATTCCAACACGACTATGAGAATGAGTACTGAGCGATATATATCTATTAGTAATAACCCATGTTTGAATCGAGCACCCCAAAGAATCGAGCCCACTATGTTAAATCACGACAACCATTCTTCTTCGAAAAGAAATGGACAAAACCCATACCTGAAGATATTGTGGAACACAAAATCGAGCACAAATCATGTAATACAAATATTTTTAATAGCATACAAACATTTCAAGTAGCAATTTATTTATTTTAGTTATGCCATTTTAAATCAATCTAGACCCACAATCAATATCAAAAAAAATTGACAACTTTTACTTTAAAAACAAAATACAAAAAAAATATTAACTTATGTATGTAATTTATCGAATGACTAATAATTAGTAAATATGTGTTTATTAGTAAAAAATGTATGAATTTAAAGAAAACATGGCCCAATTCATTTATTGGAATCAATATCACATACCAATTCTACCTTAACAAAACCATTTATTGCAACAACAAAATAATATCAATAGTAGAATAAAGTTTAAGTTTATTCATATAGATCTGCATATATCAAATCCAACCCGTAATTCTGAATACACGCATTTAATTAACATCCATATCAATTCCCATATAAAATTCTTACAACAAAAGTCCAAAATCCAAGCAAAACTGAAACAAATCAAGATTATTAGTTCTATTGATCTTGTGTATGTGTCTGTGCCTAAAGTCGCTAAGTAACCAAAAACAAAATAACAATTAGCAAAAATTATAAATTCATTGGACAAAAAATTAAACCCTCAATATATTTTGAAAAATTTGGCCAGAGTTTCCCCTAAAAATGAGACTCCAAAAATTTTTTAACAAGTATACACAATTTATTTTCATACCCGAAAAGGCTACCAAAGGTCTCACTATCACACCACAGTTCTACCTAACACAACTATTTACCAACTCATGCAACCACACAAATGAATTCATAACAAAAATATTGGGTGAGCCATGACAGAGAAGAGGTGTAGAGAGAGGAGTTGCTGGTTAAGAGAGACGGAGAAAGGGGTTGCTGCCTTGCTGGGTTGTGTGTCAGATGATTTTTGGGTGTTGTGTTATGGGTTTTAAATTTTGGGCAGGCTTTTGGGATGAATTGTGGGTCATTTGATTAAAATGAATGAATTGTGAGTCATTGGATTAAATGTGAATCGTTCTTGTGGTAAGCTAACTTTGGAGATTCAAATTTGTTACTGTCTTATTATTATAGATTTCATTTTCAGGAGTTGGGACAATGCAGTTTTTAGTCTGTATTCTAGTCTGTGATCAGTTTTGATGTTTAATTACCAAAAAGAGCATTTCTAAATTTAATTGTCATGCCTGACTTTGGCCTACATGAATTTTAATTCCTATAATGTCACTGTAGTCATGGACATGCAGTGCATGTGAAAACATTTAAATTAGATTGCCAAATAGAAGCCTAGTAATAAATGCTATTATACCTTCCGAATTCTACTTTAACAATGTTACCTCACTATTGTTAAGGGTTTCAGGCTCATGTTGTTTCAGTTGAGTAACTCATAAATTTTAATGTGTAGATGTAGAAGTAAGTCCCATAACTATGGCATCAAAAGATGAGATACTTATACTATTATTCTCTCTCACATCCTTTGAAGCATGGTTACTGATACGAGTACAATACGATACGGATACGACGATACGACACGAATACGATTAGGATAGACGATGTATTTCATATCTTTACTATTATCTACAGACTCAATAATTATATACTTTGGTAATTCTTTAACTTAAAAGGAAATTTAACAATTTTTTTAGTTTGACAAAAGTATATTGACAAAGTGAAAGTGACTAATTAAAGGAATCAAAATTAATATTTACTTACTTGGTTTGTTTAGAAGCATTTGTTGCTAAGATTATAAAGTAATAAATTTATTTTATGTTCTTTTGACGTGTAATAGTAAATAATACTTAAAACAAACATTTATATGCCTTATAAATAATATGAATTTTTGTTAATGTATTGTATGATATATGAATTCGGAAGGAGATGTTAATGATTAAATTCAAAAATTATACATGTTGTTCGAATACAAAAGCGTATTTGAAGTTTCCAAATATTTTATTATTATCGGATACGTAAAAGGTGTATTCGATACGTATCCTCAAGTATCTGACGAGTATCATATTCGATACGGGTACGACATCATCAACAAAGTATCCATGTTTCATAGCTCACATCTCTTATCAAACACATGCACTACACAAGACTCACTTTCCTCTCACACACATTTTTGTTGATGTTCACTCTCCTTTTGTCTTCCAATGTAGTAACAAAGAGAGCAGAGAGAGAGATAAAGCATGGAAGAAGGCCTATTATTTGTTGGAACTAGAGATACTCCAAGTGGTGACTCCACTGCAACAGCTGTTGTTATTCTCAGCACCTTTGTTGCAGCCAGCGGTTCCTTAACTTATGGGTTTGCTGTAAGTATCATATGCATGTACCTGTGCTATATAGGACCTTTATGATTATACGTAATGGTGCATGTGATAAGATACTGAGAAATCGCATGAACGTTTGATGAACTCAAATAATATTATAAATTTTTGGCTCAACAGTGTGTCTGACTATACTTTGTGAGAAATATTTTATTAAACAAATGAAAGACTTGTAATATTCTATTAAAAAATCTATTATTTTAATTAGGAATTAGAGAATATTTGAAATCACATTCAAGATATACCATATGGTGCCATACATCCCAAGTACTATCCTCACCACATTCAAATCTTTCTTCTCTACATTTGATTATTTAAACTTCTAATTTTGTGTTTTTAGAATGTTGTCAAGTCACATCGCTGCGGAAGGAATAGACCAAACAAACCAAAATAGTTATTTTCTTAACAGAAAAAAATTTGTTGAAGGTGCACAAGTGCAATGTGCGTGTTCAATACCATGTTTTTATGTGCTTGTTCTCTTTACAATTCTTCGCCACTTTCTTGGGGCTATCCCTCACAATACACTGCATACCAAGTGGCTTTACTCAAATTTTAATAGAAGAAATAGGAAAAGAAATAAGGATGGACCTAACCAATGTTACTTAGATCGTGGGTCGCTTTGGTATGTGGCACGGGTACAGGGTACGACATTTTCTTAGGTATGCGGTATGATGAGAGTACTCGTGGGTCGCTTTGGTACGTGGTACGGGTACGGGTACATGGTACGAAACTTTCTTAGATACGCGGTACGATGGGAGTAGGCTTAGTTGGTCCGATGTTTTGGGTCACAATTTGTTTTGAAACTTTTATGTAGATTGTTTTCATTACTATACAACATTATATATTACAGAACATTCATAAACACTAAGTTTGTTATTATTTATCTTATAATTTTACTTGATTTTCTATTATCTAAAACAATATATAATTATAAATTTATATATATTTAGTCAATTAATATGTATTTTATATTTGTGCTACATGTTCTAAAACGAATTGATTTAAAGTTAGTATTATAATTTGGGGTCGTCCATTTTGGTGATCTGGATTGCGAACCCATCTCGTTTGGGATCGATGTACTCTAATACCATAAAATAAAGTTGTTATTGTATTTATATGTTTTTATATCTAAAATTTTTTAACCAACGCAGGTCACTATAGAATATAATCACAACGAAAGTTTGATGTCAATCCACTAATGGTTGAGTTAGATACGTCTATCCTGGTTCAATGGTATTAGATTACATAAAGATCAAAATTTGATTCATTGACATGCCTTTAAAAGGGTGTCCGCTGCTTAATTTATGGCAATGCTAGAGTTAATTCAACTCTTTTAATGTTATTTTATTGTTTCTTATTTTTCTAAGGTTGATCTTGTAGATGACCAAAGTACCTGCCCTATGAATGTCTAGGTGGCAAAATGCAACTTCAAAAATAAGTATTCAACCTGCTACATATATGATGAATTCTAAGTAACTAAGAATTGTTGGGCTTGTTGACAACTTGGTTTCAGTAAATGGTTGGAAAATCAAGGCGACTCCAGGCATACCCCTTGTGCCTGAATTGGCCTTGAGTGAGGTGACTTCGTTGAGGCGTGTGCCTCACATGCCTTTGGGATTATGCGCAAGGTCTAGAGGAGCTTGCTTTTTCCCTTCTGTTGTCTGGATGTGTTGTGGACTAGGTATAAGTTCCTTAATCCTTGCTTTGATATGTCGATGTGCTTCACGTGACACAGCTGATCGCATCTCTTCGAGGGATATTAATAAGAGCATTGAGTGGTTGCTTGGGAAGATGGATGGAGAATCAGATGAAGAGGATGAGCTTGTGTTTGATTATGATTCTTTTGTTAACTCATCCTGCTCAAAACCACTTGAAATGAGTGGAGAGTCAGGTTTGTGAGGTGTTATTTTCAATATGAGATAAGCTGTAACACTTCCATGCACATTGAATTTGGATGTTTATCCTTCTATGGAATTTGAATACTTTGTGTTCAAAAAAGTCGAAGCTTGGATGTTTTATAATTTTTGGATTCTTAGTTGCGCCCTTTAGTTTTTATGCCTTATTTGAAAGATTTTTCAATGATAAATTTTTTGCTTGTTATAGACAATGTTCAACTTGCATTGATGAAACCCTTGCTTTGTATCTCACCAGTCGCCTGGGCCCCACGAGATCCGCGATTCACCTTCTGCCTTGAATACTGAACTGGAACTTATCTGAAGTTTTGTTTATGTAAGTAAAAGGCAGAAAGAAAAATGAGTTAACTATTAATCATAATTGGCATGTTACAAATTAGAGATATGTAACAACAGTGTCATCTCTACAATTAGCATTCCACCTGCACACACAGCATACAAAGGGAAGAAATGAGAAGGTGCATGTTTGACAATAGTAGACTTGCATGTAAATACTGTATATTGTATATCAAACCAGATAGTGTAATAAAGTGTTTTCAACCATTGTTAGGGTTATTCCAAGATGTTGGGGTTGGGGACAAAGAGAGACTTGTAAGTTGGAGATTTGTGATTAAGTTAGTTGATATTATTAGTGTGGACATGAGTCACATGACATGACGAGGAAAAATTTGAAGAATCCTTCAGACATAACTGCATGCACCATGTGGCTTATATGGATGATTGTTGTCATATTTTGATGATTTGGGTGGGTCTATGCTCCCCTTTTGATTGTCCGCATTATGTTATGGAAAAAAGTTGGGGGTCTGCATATATACGTGGATTTAGTGGTCTAGTTGGTAAGAAAATTGGGATTTAATGTGCATCTCGTTCTGGGAAAAAACAGGAGGTCTAAATATATGTGTGGGACCAATGGACCTTTGATCCAATGGTACTCGTTGTCTTATGAAGGCATTGCCTTCTTGAGGTCAATGATTCAAGTTCCCCTCTCCCTTCCCCCTCCCCCTCCCTAAAATTAAAAAAATAAATAAATATATGCGTGGATGTAGTGGTTTAGTGGCTAAGAAAATTGGGGTTTAGCGTGCACATTTAAAAGCATGCCTGTTGTCTTTGTTGATAGATTTCAATAGATCAAAGGATAGCACAACATCAAGCATGTAACAAGGGAAGAAGCAATGGGAAACGACACTTTTTGGGCATTCTTGAACTAGTTTGGACCAAGGATAAAAATTTCGTTTTGGTGCATTATTTCAATCACTTAGAAAACGGAAACGTTTTGACTTGTTTCGGAAATGCTTCTATTTGCTTCCAAAACAGAATGAAAAAAAAAATAAAAAATTTAAGAATTATTTTTTCAAAATATTGGTTGAAATATACTAAAATAGTTTGAAACATTCTGAAACGTTTGTACAAATGTATTAAAATATAACAAAAAATTTTGAAACATTATAGAACACCTTGAAATATTAGAATTTCGATTCTATCACTGATTCGTTTTTGATTTTTTAAAAACGAAAACGTTTTGGACGTATCGAAACCAAATTTTAATCCTTGGCTTGGACCTAAAAAAAATTCCTTGGACCTTATTCTGAGGCCTGATTTTTAAATATATGTTTGGTGGATTGAATTTGGGTAATTAAGTAAGATATATTCAATTCAGGGTTGATGGTAAGAGTAGGAATGCTTTCAATTAGAATCTACTCAGCTACCTTGATAGATCAAATTGGATCCTCTATGTTAAAGTAGTTAGTATATTTAGACTTAAGAGTAGTTTAGTCATTTGTTTTCTTTTATGTTGCCCTAGCTTAGTCTGTTTGATTTGTTGCCCTACTATATAAGGGTCTACATTGTGTATTCTAGGTTAAGGAGTATTACAGACTTGTTTAGTAATAATAATATTCTCTCTTTCTCCTTTACCTTTTCTTTATTTGATCAAAGTTTACATGGTATCAGAGCATGGTTTCGATCCAAAATATATTGTAACACATAGTAATTTAGTTGGAGAAAGAATATATTCTTGAATTAGGGCTGACATCGTCTATGACGATTTATTTTTTTGCTATTTTCTTCGACTTCTTTACTTCATATTAAGCCTAAGTAGTGCGACTAAAGGTTCTTGGTGTTGGATTGTGTGATTTGAGGGCTAGTGATCGGTGGATTGCTGTTTTTTTGTGGTTCTAAGGGCTGTGAACAGTAATTTTGGCACTGTTCACGCTCTGTANTTAAGCCTAAGTAGTGCGACTAAAGGTTCTTGGTGTTGGATTGTGTGATTTGAGGGCTAGTGATCGGTGGATTGCTGTTTTTTTGTGGTTCTAAGGGCTGTGAACAGTACCAAAGTTACTGTTCATCTGTGAACAGTGCCGAATTTCGATTTTTAGTGCCATTTTTGTTGTATTGTTGTGTAAGAAACTTCAATTTGTTATAGGTATTTGATTTGCAAAGCTGTTGAGTTGATTTATGGCGAATTTTGGATTGCTTGACATTGACTGCTTTTTTTGGTTCTAGTTTCTGCTCTTGGCTTCGTTGGTGCCTTCTTTCTGTTTTGTGGTTGGATTTGTGCTCCCCTGTGTGTCGGCTGGCTCTTTCTATGCCTTCGTTGCTATGTTTTCCTCGCTGAACTTGTGATGTCCCAAAACACACCCTGGATGACATTACATTCTAAAACCATTCATATCATAAGAGCACTAATATAATCTTTTAAGAAACAAGACTTCATTTGTCATCCACGAATATTTACAACATTATCCAAAAAGAATAAGCCCAAGTCATGACTATTACATCTCAAAAATTAATTAAAGAAGCGCAGCGGAATAAACAAAAGAAGCTAGACTACACAATGTTCCAAAAGAATGTCCTAGTCTAGTACAAAAGGAAAGGAGGTCGCTCTATGCGTCCACCTCGGGATCCACACTCCCGTCCCGTGGAGTCTCCCAAGTAGCGGGCTCTTCGACCCTTACGTTCTCCTCCTCCTTAAGCGGGTAATCTGAAAAATGTTAGCGATAGGGGGTGAGCACGAAGCTCTGTAGAAAAATTCTCCCAAACCCATACAAGGTTTAGAAAAGCATTAAAAACGGTCGGTCTCAATTTTAACATAACATAGATATATAATTTGAAATAAAGCAGTGACATTTAAAAAAGATTTCAAGTTTATTTAAAAACATTACTTAAACGAATAAATGAACACCACATACAAATAATAACCATTAATTGCTATAACCAATTTTCAACAATTCTTTCGGTAGGTGGCATACTTTGTGGTAACCTCCACCCCCTTTTTAGGTCACCTTTGATTCTCAAGCATCATTATCGGGAACCTCTTGAAAATGGATGAGCATCCTTACATGGAACTTCTCACCAATCACTACATTATTTCCCAAGCATCTTTACCGGGAACCTCTTGAAAATGGNAAATACATCACTCTCCAAAAATTAGGGTTTTAAAACTAGAAAGGAGATTTCATGGGTATTAAACCCTACTTTGTTCAAAACATGTAATCCTTGCAAAAAGCCTAAGAGAGGATGATTCCATAGCATATATATACCATTGATAGCCAAAACATACATATATAAATACCCTAGCCTCAATGTAAGTGAATGAGAGAAAACCCCTATCTTGAATCCTTAGCTTTAAAGTGAAGAACAAGAATATTTGATCTTGAATCACCCTTGAATCTCTTGTTTTTCCCTTCTTTTCTTCTTCTCTAATGCCCTCTAGGGTTTCAAGAGGTGTGGGGGTGTGGGGGGAATGAAGGAAATGAGAGCAAATGAGATGAAAATGGGTTTAAAACATAGCAGCCCCGAAAAACGCTGTTCACAGGCTGTTTTGGGTTTCTCCAAATTTATGATTTTGCCACTAAGAATCTCCAATTTGATCCATATGACTACCCCTAGGTTTTTCGATGTTTCAAATTCATTTTTAATGTTATTTTAACCTAAAAATATTTATTTTTATGATTTATCTTAAAACCCAAGTCAACGTACACCCGAAACACTAAAGTTTCTATTTTACCCATCCGAATCGGCTATTAATGAAGTTTTGCGATGTTTGCAAATAAAAGGTGATAAAGGGTGTTNACTAAAGTTTCTATTTTACCCATCCGAATCGGCTATTAATGAAGTTTTGCGATGTTTGCAAATAAATGGTGATAAAGAGTGTTTCTTAAAACCTTTTATACTTATTTGAAGCCTAAAAGTACTCATTATTCTTATATTTTGATTTAGGATGCAAATGGAGACATTAAATGCAAAACGAAGCTAATTGGACTATTTCGACATCATTTCGTTATCTGAGCATAACTCTCTCATCCAAGCTCTGATTGAGATAATTCAAGATGCTATGGAATGATACGAAAGAGATCTAAAACTTTCAATTTTTTTAGTTTTGAGAGATATTGACTGCATCAAAGTCTAAATCGAGCTTGAAGTTGCAGCAGTGCACTGTTCATGTGCACTGTTCACAGTCTGTCTTCGTCCCTTTTCCATTTTCAATCCATTCCTAAGCCAACCAAATCCATCCCAAACCTCTCCAACACATATTTCTACACCAAACTTATTTAATACAAGTTCTAGGACCTAAAATTTCATATTTTCACTTATTAAAATCAAATTTCAACTATTATTTTCACTAACATTTTAAATATCTACTTTTTCAATCTACTAAATTCAAACACACATCACTACATATATCCACATTTTTTTTTATCACAATTATTTACTATATATCTATATACATATATAAAAGAAAATGCGGGGTGTTACAGAACTAATTGCTGCATAGATTGCTAGGTCTGGTTGTTGGATTTGTTGTTTCTTCTCTTCTGTTGGTGTTTCTCATTGTTGGGTGTGGTTGCTTCTTCTGGTTGCTGGTTTAGTTGTTTCTTCTCATTACTGGGTGTAGTTATTTCTTCTTCGTTTGGTTTGATGCTCCTTGGTTTGGTGCTGAAATATTTAGTTTACAATTTGATTAATTGGTCCTGCTGTTGCTATTCTTACTGGTTTGCTTCTCTGCTGCTCCTTTGATTGCCTTCTCTCCGATGGCATTTTAGGTAAGAAATCTTAATTACTAAGGTTTGTTGATTTTGGCTACTGCTGGTTTGAGGCTAGTTCTGGTTTGACTATTCTTCTGTTAATTTGGACATTAGTTTGTTGATTTAGGCTGGTGCTGATTTGGGCTTTTCTCTGTTGGGCTGCTGATTTGACTTTTCTTCTTTTCTTTGTTGGGTTTTGTTTTGTTGGGCATTGTTGCTGGTAGTTTTTGTTGGATTTTGATTTTCTGTTGGACCTCTCATTTCTATTTGGGACTTTATTTGTTGAGCCTATACTTGGAGTTTTGTTGAGTTTATTATTTTCTTCCTCATTCTCTCTGGAACTTCGTGCTTATTCTGATGCGGACTGGGCTGGTGTCTCTATGGATCACAAGTCTACTACTAGTTTCTGTCTCTTCCTTGGTGATTCTATCATTTCGTGAAAAAATAAGAAACAAATTGTTGTGGCTCGATCATCTGCTGAAGCTGAGTATCATGCTATGACCTTCAAAACAACAGAGATAATTTGGTTGAGTTGGCTATTTGCTGATCTTGGCATTTCCTTGCTAATCTTAGTAGATTTCTTCGCAAAGTCGCATCCTATCACTTGTGTTCCTTTTTTTTCTTGGCAAACTCTTGATATTTTTTGCTACCACATCATGAGTTTAAGAGGGGGTGTTAAAGTAGTTAGCATATTTAGACTTAAAGGTAGCTTAGTCATTTGTTTTCTTTTATGTTGCCCTAGCTTAGTCTGTTTGTTTTGTTGCACTACTATATAAGAGCCTACATTGTGTATTTTAGGTTAAGGAGTATTACAGACTTGTTTAGCAACAATAATATTCTCTCTTTCTCCTTTAGCTCTTCTTTATTTGATCAAAATTTACACTCTAAATGGCTGGTGATGATTTATTTACGTACCCTGGTACTTGCACTAGGCGCATGATTGGTTGAAAGCCAATTCAATAGTGGTTTACATTGTTTTGCAGGTTGGATATTCATCTCCTGCTGAATCTGGTATCATGGAAGACTTGGGCCTCTCTATTGCAGAGGCAAGCACCAATTTATTCCCTTTAATTCCTTGTTGAACATAATTTGGGCGATTGGGGGTGTACCCTAAGGTGGAAAAAGGGCGCACAGTTCCATATACATGACCAGTATATGCATAATATATGTATATAAAAAAGAACAATCTATCTGCATGTGACAAAATATCCCTAACAGCACATCCAAGATTAAATAGAAGAATGTGTAGAGTCTACCCAGCAGGAATAACTCTTCAACTTCACCAAGTAAGAAGGAAACCTCTCAAACATTCGTCCATTGTGATTTGCCAAATACATCTCATTAGGCATAAAGGGGTTGTTGCCCACATCACACACACCCTCCCCCTTATGCCCATGAAAATTAAACTGTCCATCAAAGGTTTCGCCGGGCCCACTATTACCCAAGCCATCCCAAATCAGGATAGAAGCACACCATAGCTCTTTCGGAACCCCATAGTGCAACAGAATGTGATTGGCACTTTCCCATCCTTGTGCGTTATAATAATTTTTTAGAATCTTGTGTGTGCTTGTCTAATTATCTTTCACCTAAAGTGTCTCCAATGATGCCATCCAGACAAAGGAAGGCCCCTTTCTTTGGGTGGTTTTTGTGCGCCATATTTAAATGGAAAAGAAGGCCCTCCAGTACTGCAAGTCCAATTATAAGAGGATTTTGACAGTGAACACCCATTCCTGGTCACCTTCCTAGTCAAACCATATTTTCCTTAATCTAATATAACTGCTTTTACTAAGGCAGCAATAGAGTCCGAATGACAATCACGTGTAGCTCTAAGGAAATGAGGATTCCACACCATTTGACTATTATCATGCGTCACTACCTCTAACACCATCCATGCATAAAATTTCTAAGGTTAATCACACTTAGCACCCTTGAAATTTTCATCACATTTCACATTGTCTCTTAAGTACCAAATTAATCCCATCCCACCTTCCAAATTTAGAGTTCAATTTCAAAGTATAATTTATCATTGGCCATCTATCACAAATATTCAACTTACTGTGATTTTGCGTACCCTGATTGATGTTCAATTCATTTTGAGACAACAGAGTCAAGTAATAGGTTTAACTGGTTTTCACTCAGCTCAATTTAGGTTTCCCTGTTTCTCTGAGTTTGTTTAATTTTTGCCTCCGTGTAGTATTCAACATTTGGTTCATTATTGACATTTGGAGGAATGTTTGGTGCATTAATAAGTGGCAAAGTTTCAGAACTCATTGGGCGGAGAAGTGTAAGTTTCTGCCTTACCATGCAGATATATGTAGACCCAGCGTATTTATCTTATTTCAAACTTCATAGAAAGTCTTGAACAATGTTCAATTTTGGTTCATCTTTTAATGCAGACAATGTGGCTCATGGAAATAATTTGCATCATTGGTTGGCTTGCAATTATTTTTGCAAAGGTATCCTGAATTTCCCTTATGCATGCTTCTCGACAACAATTTTGTTCATTTAATCTTCATTAGATGGTCAAGCTAAAAGATTCATGCTCTTGATTTTGAAATCACCTTATAAATCAAGAAGAGTGTTAAGGTGCATTGGAAGCAACTTCAAGAAGACTAGCACAGCAATAATTGAGATTATCAAAAAGAAAACCATACGATAAAGTTCAGGATGACCAAGAGAAACCTAAGAATGCGAGTGTTTTTAGTCTAATATGTGAACTTTATTTCCTTGAATGTACATTCTGAGGTTCAATGTTAGCCTAGATTTTACTTTGATAAGATGACTGAAAGAGGGCATTCAAATATGTCCTTCTAGATGATAGAGGGAAAAAAATATGGAACTCGCTATCTAAATCAAGTCGATGGAATCTTTTTCTTCTTGTTTTCCTTCCTGTTTGACTTTTCTTAGTTTTTTTTAATTCTTTTTCGGGCTTCTTTTTTGGTTGGAGGGGAGTTACTGCATCACTAATAGCAACTGTCAATGCTCATTGAAAGGGTGCTTGGTTGCTTGACATTGGAAGACTGTCATTGGGAGTTGGAGCTGGACTTCATTGCTATGTGGTAATTGTGGCAAGGTCTGAATTCTGTATTAGATTTCCTGGTCCATGTAATGCATAATATGATCTAAATTTCCATTGCAAACAGGCACCTATATATGTTTCAGAAATCACACCCAAGAATATTCGAGGAGGATTTACAACAGCTATTACAGTAAATCAAATCTATTATGAATTTGAATTTGGGAAACAACTCTCTGTCTATGTTTACATAAATTGGCAATTTTCCAGTTTACAGTTACTTGTGGCTTTGCACTAATGTTCTTCATTGGGAATTTCGTGACTTGGCGCACCTTGGCTCTCATTGGTAACATGCTTCACTTATCTCATGCTGTTTCAGTATGGTCCAGACTCCAGAGGTAGTTTTGTTGCCGATGCTTGCATTTGGTTATATTTTCAGGGACTATACCTAGTCTGATACAGGTTGTTGGTGTATTCTTTATACCAGAGTCTCCAAGATGGTTGGTAAGTTGAATTAAAATTATGTCACAAGTTGTTTGGGTGGTGTTCAATGGAATATTGCCAAGCCAAAATGATGAAGCCAAAAAGATAAAGGAAATGATGTATTCAAATTGTTGTGTGATGGAAGATTCTTAGGTTCCTTAAATGGCTTGTAATTAATATGTCTGTTATTTGAATTCCCCCCATTCTATTGTCCAAACAAGTCATGGAATGCCCCAGTTTCCCAGAATGTTATTTGGTGAAATTATTACTGTTTTACATCCATTTATATAATTCAGAGCTCTAAATTCCCTTATAATTTACAAGAGCTTTACGATTCTTAATTTATCTCCAATACAATAAATCTCCCAGTTAAACATCACAAAATTATATCAATATTTGCCAATCTCCGATTCCTCAAATATTATAATTCCAACCAGTTCTCAAAAATTGACCTGTGATTGGGTAAATGGGGATGAGTTGGGTAGCTCAGTTAGTAGTGACAGGAGTACAAATTATGAACATGGTAGCAGAACACAAAAGAGCCAAATAAATGATACTCATATTTCAAGAATAAATTTAGTGACATACTGGCTCATACCATATCAGTACCATGACTAGTAACACTCAGTTTCACTTCATCTTATCCGTCTTGGCCCTCGGCCTCGGGGTCTTCGCTTGTTGGACTGTTTGCTGGTTGACTCAATGCAGGTAGCAATCAGTTTCATGGCACTTTATTCAGCACACACTCAATCCAACATGGCAATTGGAAATTCCAGAAAATTTGGAATAATCACTATCTAATAAAAAATATTACAAATTCATAATAATCAGTATAAATGCTTTTTTTTTGTGCAAATAGATTTAAAAGGAAAGCATATGATAAATTATCTTCCTTACTGAATATTCAATTAATACTTAAACATCAAGACCAATCAACTCGGAGCAATATAACTAATTTGGATCACACATCACTCCATTCTCACCTTAAAACTTTTGGATGCTTCCTCTCCATTTTACTCCCTTTTTCTTTTTTCCATTTCCCCCTCTTTGCTCACCTTAGACACATGCACCTCTTTCTCTTTTACTTAAAACACACATATACACACATTCTCATGGCCTTGACACCAAAATGTGGACACTTGTCAAATTCTAGTTCACAAGACACGTATTACAAGTTATAAATAGGACACATGTAGAAACCTTGCATGCATGGACACACATCAGGCAACATTTCTTGTAATTCTATTTTGACCTCTAAATAGAACACTAACGTTTAGATAGTTTATAAATTTAGTACTATTTTTTTTTGGTTCAGGATATAACACTCTATATAAAGTATAGGGTGAAGTTCAACTTAATTTTCTGTAGTGGTTTGTTAGGCCTTTTTTGTTAAAAACAAATGTAGCGAAAAACATGGGGAGATCCTTTTATTTTTTCTGTGTACTTTTGTTTGATTAAAGGTAGCAAAATTTGGGTCAAGGGAGAAGGAATGGAATCTATAATGATGCTCAATTCATGACTGCAATTGTCTGCAGGCAAAGATAGGCCATGAAAAAGAGGTAGAAGCAACTCTACAGCTTCTCAGGGGTAAAAATGCTGATATTTCTCAGGAAGCAGCTGATATCAAAGTAACACCTTTAGTCCATATATGTAAATTCAACTAGTCACTCTTTAGGATGATTTTTTTTCCTTATGCTTGTCTTGAGTGTTTCTGTGTATGGCAACTGCAAATAAGATGGGCCGATGTTGTTTTACAGGATTATACTGAAACCCTTCAACAGCTTTCGAAATCCAGATTTCTTGACTTGTTCGATCGCAAGTATGCCCATTCACTTATTGTAAGCCTTGCATAAATCCTACATGTGGCATGTTACCTTTTCACAAGTTTTCTGCCATTTTACTGAGTACACCCCTTGCAATAGGTTGGAGTTGGTCTAATGCTTCTGGTCCAATTTGGAGGGCCTGATGCAATTTCATCATATGCAAGTTCAATTTTCAAAGCTGCAGGTAAGGACCTTTTGTAGTACGTTATGTTATCATCGGGATTAGACAAACCAGAGTTTGAGTAGATAAATATCTGAATCTATACATTATAACAGGTTACTCTGGTGGTCTTGCAACTACAATGATGGCTATTACTCAGGTTCCTTACTATTTTGAGTAAATTTGTATTAACCAAACTGTTCAGGACATTTTTCAGATAATAATGTAGATATTCTTGGCAGCTTCCGTTTGCCGCTCTTAGTATGCTTCTAATGGATAAATGTGGACGGCGTCCACTTTTGATGGTTAGAATGTGAAAAAATCTTTTTCTCGTTTAGTTTTGGATGTTGTTGATAGATGAGCCGACCTTGGAGTCTTTGCAGGTTACTTCCGCTGGAGCATGCTCAGGATGCCTTCTTGCAGGACTGGGGTTCCTTTTGAAGGTTCATGTAATTTTTGAATCTGAGTAACTTTGAAGTCGTTTTTTACTTCTTTCCTCGGAAGTTAGAAAGCCATTCCTTTCCCTGAAATACTGGTTCACCTTGAGCAGGCGCATTATCAAGGGGAGGAGCTCACTGCCATATTTGTGCTCGCTGGCATACTGGTGATGTGATTTAATCGAATGATAGCCATAACTGTATAATTTAATTGTATATTTGCTTTCACTCACTGTCTTTGATTTCTTATTACCTCCGCATCATGTGTTGGTCTAAAAGGTCTATGCGACCTCTGTGCATATTCGTAGTTTTTAAATTTGTGGCATTTACTATGAACATGAATTTCACATTTATAATTTTTAAACTGTCAAAATGTTAATCAGATTGATCCAAAGCTACCGATTACTAACCTGTTCATTTTCACATAATTTGACACGCTGATTGAAAGAATTGAGTGATGTTTATATTGCGATTTTTTGTTCTGCAACCAGATATATTCTGCATTTTTTTCAATGGGCATGGGTGGTACACCATGGGTTATTATGTCGGAGGTAGGTTAACTTTGGCCCATGCTCTGTTTTATTGTATGGGGATACTTATCTCAACTTAAAATTATTGCAAGAAAGATAATAGCTTGAACTAAAGATCTGTTCCCATCACAGATATTTCCTATAAACATAAAGGGCCCAGGTGGAAGTCTTGTGACTTTGGCAAACTGGTTTAGTTCTTGGATTGTTACCTATGCTTTTAACTTCGCATTCGAATGGAGCTCAGCAGGTGATCTCTCTTTCTCTCACTCTTGCCGTGTGTGCGTGTTTGCGCGTTTCATATTGTTTTTGTTTCCTTTCTTGTACTAAAGCTACACTATTGCAGGGGTATTCTTCATGTTTGCTATCATTTGCTGTTCACTACTTGTATTTGTTGCAAAGTTGGTGCCTGAGACAAAGGGCCGAACACTAGAAGAAATTCAAGCATCGATGACCTTACTCCAATAATAATATCCTTTGGGGAAAATTGTACTGGTCTTACTATCCTGCATGTGATATATATATTGTTTCATCATTGGTGTAAAACAATTGTACACAGAAAACCTAAAATTGATTTTTCCAAGGCGGTGCTGCAGACAGTTATTTGTTATAGTTTCAAGGTGAGACCTTCATGGCTTCAAGGTCACTGCGCAAAATTTGAAGGCACAGCTTAGGTTTGGGGATTTACAAATGCAGCATTGAACTTTCTTGTACAGCATCGAGTTAGAGTGGTGTAAGGCTTGACAAACACAGGTTAATGGAGCAACGAAAGGAGTTATTTGTTGCGTGTTTCTCGCCTTCTACTTACCTAGATGATACTTATTTTCTTGAGTACATAAGTTATTAATCTTTGTATATGTGATTCAATTCAAAACAAAATAAAGAAATGGTGAATTATAGTAAGATAGTATTACATTTAAGAGTTTTAATAGAGGTCCGCAGAGATGTAGAAACAGGTTATTTTTCAATTTTGCGTCCTACATCGTTCACCGTGCCTAACATCTAAGTATGCAACCTTTCTTTGTTTCAAGCTCCTCAGAGGACGAGCCCTGATTTTTGAATCTGGATCTACTCCGATGTCCTTTTAGTCTATGATAAATCAATTGCTACGAACCAAGTGGAACTTACTATAGGTAGTTCTCTTCTAAGACACCGTGGATTCGTTTTATAGACGTATTATGAGTTGATTAAATATTGTGTTGTATTATTATTAATTTAATCAGGTATAATACATTGTTTGGTAGATAAATTTGATTTTGTATAAATTTTAAAAATGTATATTAGGTGTATACTTATTGTATGTTTTTTATAGGATAAACTTGTATTATGAAAATATTTTAATACCACCAAAAGAGGTGATATTATAATCTAATTTAAATGTATTATTGTATATATTTATTATTATAATCTCACAACTGATAAGACCAAACTGTAATCAATATAACAAACACTTTGATGCATGCTAGAATTGATTGAGGAAATTTTTGTTAATTCAATATTAATACGATGAAATAATTTTTTAATCAAATAACGAATTGGACTAAATAACTATTATTCAACGCTTATTTTGTGTACGTCAAAGACTAAAAAAATTTACGTATTATTCTAATACTTTATTTAATCTTGTCTTTTGTTCATTTGTATTGTATTAGACTAAATTCATTTATCCATTCAATCATTTTTAATACAGCAACCAAACGAGCATTGTATAATCTATCACATATGGAAAAATTAAGGAAGGTAAAGTGATTTGGATTCCTCATTCCACCCAAACTCCTTGAATCATT